AAAAACAAGGTTGCTTTGCTGTAACCCTAAAAAAGAGATGTGATACACAACCCTGACCTCATTATATTATATTGTATCTTAATCCCAGCATTCAAATAGCATAAGAGGTATGTGAATAAAGTGTGCTTTTACAACTGAGTGTAACAAAGAAGGGCACAGCTTGAACATGACATGACCTTTTTACACCCACAAAGAAGAACATTTGTAATTTCCTTGCTTTCCAGTTTGTAAATTTGCTCTCCCTGTCTCTGCCTCTCTCCAGGACGTGATGGTGGTGGGCGAGCCGACCCTGATGGGCGGCGAGTTCGGGGACGAGGATGAGCGTCTGATCACTCGCCTGGAGAACACGCAGTACGACGCCACCAACGGCCTGGACGACGAAGACGACTTCAACAGCTCCCCGGCTCTGGGCAACAACGCCCCCTGGAGCAGCAAACCCCCCGCCGCTCAGGACAGCAAGCCCGAGAGCACAGCGCCCCAGCCCTCACAGTAAAACAAAAGAAGAAGAAGAAAACAACAGATTCTTGGCTCCATGTGGACTGGACTTTTTAACCTCCCCCTTCCCCTGATGGCAGTGCTTCTACGCCTCATAACATTGTACTGAATCAGAACCCCCCCGTCTGCAAACTCACCACTGGCACGTCCAGCCATAATATGTCCTTTCTGGATATTTTCTTCTTCTCTGACTCACTGTAACATCTTGGAGAACACTGAGAACTGGCAGCATTGCACAGCAATATCCACAAGTCAAAGACAACAAATGCATACAAGTCATATGCAACTGTAATGTAAAAATAGCAAAGCGTCTGCATTTTTTTTCAAGAATGCAGTGGAAAATTGCAGATCAAATTCTCCTCCTTGGACCCTTTCGTCTAGTGGAATACTACAGCTGTGATTGGTTGACCTGCGGGTCGCAAGTCATCATGCTGGCAGTAGACAGTGGGGAGAAAAGAAGAAGAATAAAAATAACAAACAAAATGTCTAAAAAAAAAAATGGCAAACTCAACGTGGAGAAGGCAAGTTGTTTTTTAGCAGCCAACAGAGCCAATGGAAGCGTCTAACCACATTGGAGACAAATGAAATGTTGTTTTAAGGCAATTGCATTTTTATTGGAAATTCAGTTGGCTGTTGGTTTGTTTCTGCGGTTGCTGTTTATTTCCATTTTCAATTAAGAGGAAATAAAAGTTCTCTACCACTATGGACTGCTTTCAAACAAGGGAAAATCGTGTCCTAGGATTGTTTTTCCACTTTACTGCGGTCGTCACAGATTGTGATTTCATGCAAACCAGTTTGATTGTGTTCGTAGTCTATTGGTATTTTGCTTCTCTCGGAATCCTTTGCAATCATGTTGTAATTTCGCCGATCAGTATGTGAACTTTGCCGACTCGCATTGATGCCTCAATGTCGATTTTTCTTTTCTTTTTCCCTCCTCGAAAATTGGACTTCTTTCCCTTTAACGACCTACTCCCAAACTGATACTAAAGCCTTTTCCTGCATGATTTTATAGGATTTTTATTTTGTTTGATATATGTACTTTTTAAAACACATCAGTCTGATTTTTCCTTTTGGGTTCATCAGTTTGGGAACACTGTTACAAGGTTTGTAGCTCTGTAAATAGAGGTGGAATCTATTTTGTCCACTGTAAATTAGCCACTGAAACCAGTTTGGATATGGCAGCTGTTTTGTTTTTGTACAGGCGGTTCAGATTTCTGTTGGGTGGTTTGGATGGACGCTGGTTTGCCTCTAACTCTCTTAATGTTCCCTGTCCTATTTAGCTAGTGCAGAACCAAAGCCACAAAGTTAACAGTCACATAATCATATATCTTGTATATTCTTGGACATAGGAAGAAAACAATTTTACATTTTAAAAACCGCACAGACAAAATCCCGTCCACCCTACAGAAATGTTTTGAGATCCCTGTATTCGTGTTCACAATTGTTCTCTTAATCTTTAATTGAATTGATATTATATCCCTGATCTCTTTTGTTGGACTTTTGTTTGAAAATGGGCAAGAAGACAATGACAGATGTCTTTATACAATTGGATCTTATGGGTATTTATTTGTGCATTTGTAAGGAAGCTAACACATTTCTAAATATGTTTGAGCCTAGTATTATTAGACACCATTTGTACATTATATAGCAGAGGTGTTCAGTGTCATATCTGATGTCTGGTATGTATGCTTTACCATTATGTGTGCCAATAAACCGTGCTTACAAAGGAGTTGAATTTGGTTTGGTTACATGCATCATGTGTGCATGTAGAATCTGTTTATTTGGATATGTGAAAGAAAGACAGAAAGTCTAACTTACATTTCTGGAGTGAAATTGTTGTTTTGTGCTATATTTTTCTTGTTTCTGCTGACAACTGGTGAAAGAAAATGATTGGAAATTATGTCCAAATATTCCCTGCATCAGTGATGAGGTCTAATAGCAGAAAATGAGTTAGTGATCCAACCTAAACACCATGTTTGACGTCAGTCGCTGAATATAAAAGAGCAAAAGCTTCTTTCCAGAGCTGCCATTTTCTGCTGCTATTTAATGATTACACTGGGAGAACAACCAGAGATAAGGTAGAGAGGTAGATAGGCCAGAATGCATTGCAACCACAAGACAAGTTGTGCTTTAAATATGCGTCAGTGATCATAAACCTGCTCCAGTATTCAAACACTACTTAGTTTCATTTATATGCTCACATGTTTGCTTTTGACTAAAGATCTTAACTACAAGTTCATGCACCTTCTCCTCTCCTGCTCCTGGAGGTTAAATAAAACTGTAGGAAATCACTACATGAAGAATATATATTTAAACAACTACTGCTGTTTGTCATGAAATATGTCCTGGAATATGATGAGGATGTCAATATGATATAGAGAGGTGAAATGTGTAACCATTAACCATTGCAGTTTTGTTATTAAGTTAACTATTGAAGGACACTGACACTATTTAAAGAACGGCCCAGCATTTCAGTATAGTTCATCAGCAGGTTGTTTGTATTTTTGTTTCTTCTGTTTATAAGGATATTAAACATTAAAGCTACAGGTGGAATCAGTGGTGGAACGTAACTAATTACATTTACTTAAGTTCTGTACTTAATTACAAATTTGAGATCCTTGTACTTTACCTGACTTTTCATGCCACTTTGCTGCTTTTGTGCTACTTTTTACTCCACTACGTTTATGTTACAGCTTTAGTTACTAGTTACAAATTGAGATTTTTGTATAAAAAAAAAAGAGGTGCTTATAAAATATGATGCTTTGTTATGAACCCAGTAGAAAATTGACTAGAAACTATTTTGATAATTAGGTTTAAATATTGTTTTCTCATATGTGAGGGTTTTCTGGTTCTCCTTTTATTTTTTCTGATCTTTTCTTAATTCATTTCTGGGGTTTAAACTAGTGGTTCGACAAAACAAGCACTGTCAAGGCGCACTTTGTGCTCTGTGCTATTAGGACAGCATTTCTTACTATTTTCAGTAAGTCAAACAATCAATTGATTAATGGAGAAAATAAGCAGCAGATTAATTCATAATCATTAGTTGCAGTTCTATACAAAATAGTTAAAAGCACCCCGTTACTACAACAGTAAAATCCTTCTTTTATATTAATGCATGAGTAACAATAATCTAATGATATACTTTTACTTGAGTAACATTTTCATGTTCACTTTCATTTGTCATTTCAGTATTTTTACAGTGTGGTATTAATACTTATATCTGAATACTTCCTCCACCACTGCAGGTGATTATTTCTGTAAGAGTTAATCTGGATTTGATCCCCATGTTGGTTCTAAATCTTGACATGTAAAGAAATATACCTGAATCTCTTTCTCTTTTTTTTTTTTGAATAAGTGAGGTAAAACTTGGAAAATGGATTCTGTGTACTACTCAGCAAAGTTCTCGAGATAACTCAGTACAGACCTTGGCACTGTTGTTGGGTAAATTTTAAATCCAGGACGATTTGATGGAGCTTTGGCCACACCAAGTGGATAACTGTGGACACTGCAACAACATTTAATTATTCCATGATTCCAACTTTTATTTTTAATATTATCGTTACTATTGTTGTTGCTTTTTTAAAATGGCAGAAAATAATATACACAGGGGTGAAAATCCTCAAGCACTAGGCCTGTTTTCAGACATACAGCAGTTTTAAATTCATATAATAATTAAATTCACACATTTGTACACATTTCCTCCCAGACAACTTTTAAGGCCCACAAATGTTTTCCTGCTTTAAGCCCTGTATACAGCAGAAAACTGGTGATACCAGAGACATAATGTATGTAAGAGGGAAAAAAGAAAAATATTACAACATAAATGCATGTTAATCTACAGTTTACATTACTATTTGTGACATATTCAAACATCCCTTAGCAAAAATGAATTAAGACTTGCGTTAGTCCATTTATATATACATTTGGAATTTTATAATATTATTATTATATATAAATACACAAACTAAGCAACAGTTAAACGGTTGCACAAACTAACGTTAAGTAATCAAGGACTTTTTCCACCTCAGTGTTAGTGAAACTGCTGAATCGTTTTGTCTCTTATTATTTATTGAAACAAACACATAAGCACACATTCCTTGGCCCATATAACAAATGTTAACTAAGTAATATTATAGGGGGTACAAACGAATTAAAATATGTATAACTAAATAAGTAAATACAAAATATCTTTATTGTATTCACAGCCTTTGGATTCATAGACAAATGAAACCAATAAATGTAGGGCAACTGTTTGGCCCCACGTACAATGTTCAAGAGTATGGCTTCTGATAAAAGCACAAAGGTTTTTTCAAGAAGTCTCATAAAAGCAGCAGAGAGTCTTTAGGGGGTTCAAAGGCAGAATAAATGTGAAAATGTTCCCATAATGTGTGAAATATGATCTCCTCGGCTCTAACGTAAACCCGTTGAATCCACCTGGCAACCGTCATCATCATGACGTTGTTTGTTGTTACGTACGAGGCGATGACGTCGCACGGCGCGACGCGGCGGCAGTGACGGCGGCCAAAGCAAAGATGGCGGACTTGTCGGGGAGCGAGCTGTCAGAGGAAAAAGAAGCAGGAATTGAGCTGAAGAAAAGGCAGAAAAGACCGTGGGACGATTTGCACAAGTCGGGCAAAATCGGCATAACCCCAGAACTGCCAGAAACATTGGGATTTTACGACATAAGCGCTGTCAGAAGGGAGCAGCGGGAGCAGCCAGCAGGTAGACGGTCCCCACTACCGACGTTAACGTTACTAACGTTACCGATAATAACACACGGTACACGGTCAGATGTGTTGGTTCAGTGTGCAGGCTGGGTGCCTTAGCGGGGTTTATGTAGTGACTTCGAAGTTGTCACATTTGAGCAGTATTTCTTTGAGTGTAAATGAGCTCCAGGAGTCAGCAGCTGCAGTGGAACCGCTGAGTCGAGGGCTGACAACGAACAACGAGCTGATAATGAGCTGTCTGCTGGGAAAACAACTCTGTAACTGGCACAAAATAATTCAGATCAACTGCTTCTGCATCTTCTCGCTCGTTGTTACCTAAGTTAGAGACTCTACTGATGTCTAAAGTTTGTTTGCATGGCTGTAGAAACGGCGCCTGTAGCTGCTGACAGTCAGGAGCAGTGTTGGACACATAAACAACCTGTCGTCTCCGTACACTGTCTGACCACAGCTTTAACCTCGGGTTGGCCCTAAATCATGCCCTTCACGACTTATATGTCCTGGTGAACGTCTGCAATCCATTTTTATCACACTTATCTCCTGAAATCTCGTCTATATAACACGGAGAAACGTGCCTGTTCGGTTTCAGAGAGCAGAAACTTCTCGGTCACAGCTCGATTCATCGATCAGTTCATAGACAGAAAGTTAGCTGACACCGGTTATTGTTATAATCTAAAATGGTTGTAACTGTTTGTCAAGCAAATATGTCAGATGTGCTGGTTCAATGTGAGGATTTTATGCGTTTTTGTCATATATGATGCCAAAATCAGGAGAACTAAGGAGGTACCATGTTAGAAACAGCCCTAATCTGTGAGCCATCGGTTTCTTTTGAGCATTAACGACATCAAATGCACCTAATATATATTTTCAGTATCACCGATCATTGATTAACCCGATGTGGCCTATTTATTTTGTCTTGTTGAAACAGCGGCAGTGTGCCTGACGTTTGTAACTGAGTCACATATTTTGGTTTAACACCTGTTACACTCGCACACACTCGCATGGATCCTCACTTGACCCTGCAGATTGAGAATGAATCCAGTAAACAAGTAAAGGCTACATCTGTAAAGTGAACACTACTGAAGAAATACTGGACAGGAGTAAGTACAAATAGTAAAGACACTGTAGCTTAGATAAGATAAGATTAAAAAATACTAACAATTTTAATTATTTTATAATTTACAACACAGCAAATATATTCCAACTGTAAACTTTCTTCGTAACCCAGGCACGCTTCTGGTTGCTCAATGTACTGGAACCGATTGGATATGTTTGGCTTCAACCCCATTAAACCGCAGCATGTGTCGGCCCTACTGTGTGACTTTAACAACATTAATCTGTAAGGTCGTGTGATGTTTAATGTCCACTGCGTTCCTTTTTGTCTTCAGCCTATAAAGCATGACGCGTTTGACGAGTTCCCACAGGTTGAAGTCGAGGGGAAATAATGGCGAGACGGTGTGTGGGTCAACAAAACCCAACGCCCATCTGTTTGTTTCTTGTTTTTATTAACCGAGATCATTTTATCTGTTTTATTATAGCCATTGTAATATAGCAGAATTCAACAGTTTGTAAGTTTATAAAGCTACAATAGTCACTTCACTTTCTTTACATGACAGAACTTTATATCACAGAGCTTCACGTTGCATGTTTGTTTGTCCATTATAAAAATGTATCCATGGTGCATTGAATCAAAGTTAAACCTCCAGTTTGCACCGTTCACAGAACTTTCCTTCTCTTTCACTTTGCAGTGTGACTCTGCAGGTCGCCGCTGCCATTGTGTTGACAGCTGCGGTTGTAATTGTTGCAGACAATGGCCTTGTAGTAACGCTGCTGCTCTAACGTTGTTCCAGATCCGTCGTTGACACGCTTCATTGGCGCAGAGCTCACCAGAGGCTACTTCCTGGAACACAATGAGGCAAAGTACACAGAGCGCAGAGAGAGAGTGTACACATGCATGCGTATTCCCAAGGAACTGGAGAAGGTACTGTATGATACCGGTCCTGAACTAAGCCGCCCCCCCTTTCTCTCCGTGTGTCTGCTGTCAGTCCCACATGGAAGCAAAGTCATGTTATCAGTACAGTCTGTCGTAACTCATAATACAGCTGCATGTTCTTCCCCAACACTGAACTGATAAGTTGATTGCCCCTTTATCAACTCCAAGCTTTGTAATCAATTGCATTTAGTGTTTGTATTCGTCGCTATTTTTGAGATTATACAATTCATGTTTTTATATGGAATAATGGGAAGACATTCAGTAATAAAAAGAATCATTAGCTGCATTCTCAAGTACACACACAAACAACACTGAACCTGATAATTGATGGATGTAAAACAGTACATAAAAACATGTTATCATGTGCCTCCCTGTCCCCAGTATATTTTTGTTGTTCTTTTATATGCCACCAGGTGGCAGTGTTGAAACATAAAATGTGGAACCATGCGCTGCCTCTTTCTAGGAGTTTATCACATACTTTACCTTGATAGCTGGTGATAACCAAAACATCACTGTCCTAAAAAAACACAGGTTAACATTGAACCTCTTAAGAAGACTGACCCAATGTATTCAGTTACAATGATGCATTAAAATCGCACAATTAGGCCATTGAGGATATCCTCTACGTTTGCATGTGGTGTAAAGATCTTTTGTCTTTGGAGTTGAGTAGACCCTCTCGCTACAGAAATACAGACTAGCGAGTCCAGACTAATGTAGCTCTTACTGGCCTGGTTTTTCCTTGGGGGCAACAGAGGAATGTGTGTAAACATAAGAAGACCTCAGTGACTTCACTATGTTAAGCAGACTAACCACCTTCACCCTCACCTGACAAGGCCTCAAGCAAAGTCACACAGAATCCACCAATGAGAGACAAACCCTCCCACCAGCTCCTACCTAAAGGTACCTCAGAGCCTTCATGTTGTAGGAAGACACCCGCTAGCTTTAATTCACTTCTGCAAAAAAATGAGAAGGCTGTGGCTATGGCTCGTCATATATGTGGGAACTGTGAAGGTATGTGTCTGCTGCATCTTTAGGTTTAGACCTGGGTCTTTCTTTAGTGTCACATGTGGTGTTTATTAGCTTTTTCCTCGGCTGGAAAGGAAATGGAACATCCTCAGGAAATAATAGCCTCTTTTTCAGCTACCTATAATTATTGTTTTGCATGAGAGGAAACTGTTGTGTATCCGTACAGTCAATGCTCTTACTGACTAAAGCTGACTTCATTTGGCTGTACAGAGAAATACTTTCATGTCGTTCACACTGACAGTCACTGTTTAACTTGGAGGTGTTGTTGTGTGACTTTTCCAGTTGATGATCTTTGGCTTCTTCCTGTGTGTGGATGCCTTCCTGTACGTCTTCACCCTGCTGCCCCTTAGGGTGCTGCTGGCTGTGCTCCGCCTCCTCACCCTGCCATGCTGTGGCTTCAGGTCAGAGCCTAAACACACACTCTCACACCTACAAACGTACAAAACAAAACCATAGAATGACACCTTCATCCAGTAGATATAATCACACAGCAGCACATACACCTCAGGTATAAACACACATCTGTATGAGCGCTCAGCTGTGTGGGCTGCACCATTACAGCTAAACCAATATTAACAGTTATTTTGCGTAATATCAAGGTCACAGTAATGAATCATGATCTGTATATACATCACATGAAGGAAGATAGACCTGTATATATGCACACACACACACACAAATACATGCATATATAAAAGTTGTGGTCACATTGTTCTTTTTGGTATATGAGCATGATTTGTCATGTAATGCAACATCTGCTGTCTTCCTTTTTAGTTTCATGATTTTAAACAAATGTCCTAGCTGAACCATGCAGGAACAGTCCTTGTAAGAAAAGTGTGTGACTATTATTTACTACTTTATAATCTCCACATTTCTGTGCCGTGGTATGTTAAAAAGGTATAATAGTGACCAGTTCATTACCTTTCTTTATGTATTTCCCTATTAACAGGCAGCACTTACTGTAACAGCCATAGTTTTGATCACAGTAACTGTTTCTTTCTTCCACACTGGGCAGAAATAGGACGTCAGAACAATTTATTAAAGGTTTCTACCCATCAGTTATTGTACATCAGCTCTCAAGGCTTCTCTAATTAATGGTCTCCCTCTTACCAGGATTTTGTTGCCGTCTTTCTGTCCACATGAAAGTACTCTTTGTTTTAGTTTGTATACATGTAGATTTTAATATATAGGTCTGGAAATGTAAGTCATTTGATAGTGTGCAAAATACTTTTCACACTGCACTGAAAGCTTCCATTTAACCCAGGGCTAGTGGAAGTGCTGTGTGAATCATATAGCCCTGGGCTTAACCCTGGGAAGTTATTCCAGGGTCAACTCGTATAAGAATATGCAGTGTGAAAAGCCTTAATGAAATCTTTAGCCTACTGTCAATACACATGTTGTGATACGCTGTGTGTTGAATCGTCTTCTACTGTAGAGAGATGTTTTCATTAACAGCTGTTTCACTCGGAGCACACATTGACCAAAGTGTCAATAGATAGAATAGTATATAATATAATTGAAAAGCAGTAAGCACTAAACATGCGGCTACAAGGAGGCATTTGATCCCAGACCACCCCCCGATGGACAATTCCAGTCCTTCTGTCCGCCTCACCCTCTGTCTTACTCTCCCCTTGCCTTCCTCCCCCCTGCAGGGCACACACATGCCCCTACTGCAGAAGAAGCAGGTACGCTCCCTAAAGCCCGTCCAGGCTTCATGAATGTTGTCACTGTCCTGAACTGGCCTCCACATCCATTCACCAGTTTCTCTTCATATCCATTGTTTCTGTTAATATGCAGCTTGGTACCTCACGTCATCAAGCCAGAGCAGCCATGTTGGTTCCTCATAAGTCTGGGTTTTGTTTTTTCATCCAGGGAAGGTTTGCTGAGAGTGCATGCTCATTCTCATCACAATCATGTTGCTTGTCAGTAATACAGCTGCACATGCTTAAACTGGAGGGCTGCCTACTGTACAGCTCCTCTGGAACAGTTTGGGGCTCATTTGTCTTGTTTAAGGGCATAAATCGGTTGTTATCAGTTTTTGTTGAGGAAGGTAAAAAAAAAAAAAAGCTTCCTTATCATCTTTGCACAGAACCCCCCAGCTGCTCTACAGCTGTGCTGCTCTACTGTTGTCAAAGGCTTGCTTCTCTAACAAGGTTTTTATATCAGAAATCAAGCTTCTTCCTCTTGGTGCAGAGTCTTAATGCCTACTGTCAGGCTTATGCAGTATGAATGGCACATAGTGATGGCTACTTGGAATGCAGCCCATAGCTGACTGCTCATAATATTCATGTGTGTTATGGAGATAACGCTCGTAGATTAGAAATGTAAAGACGGCTTTGTACAGGTTAACACTACCAGCTGGCTGCAGCAGCTTTGCCTCCAGAGAGCCCTGTGTGTGTGTTTGTGTGTGCTGCACATGTTGGGGATAAGATGCACCTGCACCTTAACCACCTGAATCCCAAAGCTGCTGTTTTTAAGAGAAGTGTAATATTGTTGATTTTAACTGAAAGAATGAATCCATTATTCAGTTAGAAAATTAGCTGGCAGCAATTTTGATGATTAATTGTTCTAATCGCTTGTCAAATATTCACTGGGTACAACTCACATTTAAGCATTCGCTGCTTTTCTGTTTTACGCCGTTGTAAATGAAATATATTTGGATTTTGGACTGTTGGTCGAACAAAATATACATCACCTTGAGCTCTAGGAACATGTTTTTGTTTTTTGTTTTGTTTATAGTATATAAGTTACATCCCTCGTATCTTTTATGTCTGATTGCACTCCTTTTGTACACTATAATAATATTTGTATTATCATTAGTATTAGTTTAGCAGCAGTCCCATTTTGTACTACACTAAACCTTTATCTATTTATCTATTGTAAATTATTTTACATGAGCACTGAACAAAAAAGGTATCATCAAGGACCGGAAAAACATTTTGTTAAGCCTCAATGGGAGTCCCCTCATAGTGCGCAGTGTAGTGAATGGGCGGGGGTTGTACGGTTTTACATGAATGAGTTCCGATCTGACCACTGGATGGAGCCATAGGCACAGGAAAACAACCCACGAGACTTCTTTACAATTATAGGGACACCTGACATTGGAGCCCATCTTTTGAGAGAAAACAATATGGGTTAATGGCTTTTATGCAAGTTCACCTCATCAATGTAATTCCTTAAAAGCCTTAATAAATTGTACATTCAGTCTATTCAAAGTAAACCCCAATTATTTTTAGTTCTGAAAGCAGTTGTTGTCTTCGACAAAAAGGCCCAGATGTTCATCTCATCCAGTTCTCTTCACAGCTGTGCTAACTGCATTACAATTCACAAGACAATGAGACACTTGATTTAGCTAATTTACACATCCTCCCTAACTCAGGCACTATTTTTTCTCTCGCAGCTTGGAGTTGGCTCCTAAAATAGTTCAGATCTCCACACCTTCCAGCCCCCCACTTTCCTTTCCCATGTTTTAAAAAAATGTGAGGGATGAGGAGTAGCCCTGTTGTCAGTCGCTGAAGTTAATTAAGGTAATGATGGCTATTAGAGTTGTTCATTGTTGTCCTGCCATGTCTTGTGCACTAGTGAGTTGGTCCAATATTAGTCTGTGGTGTTTATAGTGATTTAATGAACAGTTATAAAGTAGTACCCGTAGGCTCAACCCGTGCAGTATTAAGAGAGGTGGCGCTTATTGAGAGCAACGAGAATGTGGCAGTGTGGTAAAATAAACAACCAACAGCAAATTATTTGGCTGTATCGTGTTTGTAAAGCAAGTAGGTCTATGGTCAGTAACAAGCCTGTGTGGTGAGTACATGAAACATATTTTCCTTGCTCTAGTTAGTGGTGGTTGCAGTCGTGTGGGCCAGTCACACAGCTGACATGTAAAATATGCAGGATGTCTTAGAGTTAAGCTCTCTCTCTGGCTCTCCTCGGTTATCCCTGTCATAGTAAATACTAAATAACCGGCCCTATGGATTTGTCAGCCCTCCTCTTAACATGCTCCCAAGCTGCCACTGCTAACCATTGCGATTAATTATGAAAGCAGCACATGTTTAAATCAAACGTTATTTCCCATTAAAAGACGTGTGTTGCTGGTCTTGTGGTATGTGACAGCTTAGCCTGTGTCTTCTTCCATTTTAAACATTTCTGTCCAAAATGATGCACCCATTTTGGTTACAAAATTAAAATATTTCCATAAAGATCGAATCTCAAACACATTAATTGTTGTTGGTGTGCTGTACTCTGTTTGGTAGATGAGAAAAACAAAGATTTAATCTTGTAAGAGCAGAATCACAGAACAAAAACAGAAACATATTAAAAGGAGATAAATCTTATGAATGAGATAACTTGCAGAGATACTAACTTTAATATTTCATATTGTGTTTTTTGTCTATCACTACTGTTTCCTTAATGTGGGATATCTCATTCTGAACAGAAATGAATTATTTAGCCTGTATGTGTTGTCGTACTGTTTCTTCACATTTTATGAATAGACCTTTCAGAGCTTCCATAGCTAGTCAGTAATATTTGTCATCTGGTATTGTAATGAGCCGAAAGTCTGCTGCCTCTTCACTGTACCACTACCCGTAGATCTCAGTGTCAGTGATGCCATGTGTGGGGACAAATGTGTGTGTTAAAGCTGAAATACTTGTATGTGTTCATGCAGTCATGCTCATAATTTCACATGGTAAAATGTCTGTTTGTCAGCATACATGTGCGTTATGTCTGGTTACAAACACATTTAATTGTTCACTCAGACAGTATAATGGCAGGTCGTTGTGTGTGCATGTTAAGCATATACACTGCTCATGGATATACTGAACTATCCTAGCATGCAAGTTTGTGTTCAAATACTTAAGAATGTTCTCAAAGGTTGGTTAAATGCGTTTCTGTATTCAATAGAAATAGTAAAAGCTGATCCTCTGTGTTTTGTGTGTGTGGTCAGCGGGTCTCGGCTGCTGCAACCTGCACAGGTATGTGACATGCTGAAGGGCCTGATCCTGGTGCTGTGCTTCTCCATGATGCATTACGTCGATTACTCCATGATGTACCACCTGATCAGAGGACAGTCTGTCATCAAACTCTACCTCATCTACAACATGTTGGAGGTACCTCGCGTGTTATATGCTCACATCTGACATTTGGTAGTAAAATAATTGGTAATTGGTCAAATCAATTCTGGAAACTAAGTGAGAATAAAAAACAATCAAAATACATAATAATAACAAGATGTATTCTTGTAGGAAATGTACCAAACTTCTGGTTGAAATACATGCCATTATTTATTTATTTACTTATGTGTCATTCCTCTGTAAGGTGGCTGACCGCCTCTTCTCCTCCTTTGGCCAAGACATCCTGGATGCTCTCTACTGGACGGCCACAGAACCCAAAGAACGGAAAAGAGACAGTATAGGCGTTATTCCTCACTTCATCATGGCTGTCTTTTATGTCTGTATCCTTCTTGTTCAAATCCACTGCAGAAATACGGCTGTCTTAAGTCTCAGTTTGTGAACTAGGCTGATTTGAATTTCTGTGTTTCCTGTGTTTCGAACTTCCTACTGTTACGTTTTACAGACAACATACAGTTACAGTCTCATGAAATGCAACATTATGTAAGATTTGGTATTTGTTGCCATTTGCCATCCCCTGTTTCAGAGTGCAATATTGCTATCTTAAGTATGGATAGCTGTACATGTGCATTTGTTATGATTTAGTCTACATGCCTTCACCATAAGCTATGTCAGTAGAAGCTTCAGAACCTGGTTAAATTGCCTGCTCACCCAAAACATTTCCTCCTCTTGGGGGTCCAATGCTCCTGTGCTTCCAATGTAAACACAAACACTCCCCTGGTGTCTGAGCACCCAGTCCTCTCAGCACCCAGTGTGTGTTTAGCAGTATGGCTAAGCTCACTAGGTACAGCAGCTACATCAGCTGTCCATCAGGAAACTGTAAATTACTGAGAGGACATCAGAGAGAAAACATAAAGAATGATCCAGTTTAACCAAAATCCGTGACATAGTTGGTGGTGTATAACTACTGCTGTGAAGCACTTTTCCCGACCCGGAGCCCAAAGTTACGGAGCCAAAAGTATCATTGTGCAAAGTACGGGGCACAGAGTGGGAGACACCATTCACCCTATCGTAAGCAGCAATGAAGCAGCAAAAGGGTTTTAAAGCTGGTGTTTTAAGGTAGAAAGGTGGGAGCTCTGTGTGACCACTGAAAAGATAAATGAAGCCTTTTAAGTGTCGGATAACTTTGACAGACACCAGAATGAATTTTGTTTTAATTTTCTTCTGACAAGACAGACAAAGAACTAAAAGGCAAAAAAAAATAAAAATAACAGCTGGGTTGTTTTTCAGGCATTTAACGGTTGACTTTATTAGAAGGTGGTCTGTCTAACTATTAAGATTATTAAGTTTTAATGAAGTGGTGTTGGTTGCCAAAGGCTTTATAAATTAGTTGTTTTCCTGAGTGGTTGTTGTTCAGTCCTCCATGCCATCCTCATCATGGTTCA